ATACTCATGCGCACTTGTGAACAGACATTGGTGCAAAATGTCAATTCCCATTCTTTGGCAAGATCCATTTTCATATGATCTAAAGCCGTCAATTATTTTTAAATATTTTTCATATCTCAATGATGACGACAAATTAATGTTAAAAGACTATAGGATTAATTCTGAATTTTCAAAAACGTTATTTAATTATGCAAGATTTTTAAAGGTTCTTGATTTATTTCTTCTAGAAAAGATAGCTAAAAAATGGCTCGAACCTTTGTTTGCTGAACCGATATCATCTGACGACCCATTGATATATTATATAAGTAATTTATTACTTAAATTATTCATTGAGAATGGTGCCTCTTTGCACAAATTACATTTTGCTTATACTAAAATTAGGTCAGAGATCTTTTATTCATTGGGACGAAATGTACAATTTTTCTCTCAACTTCAAAATTTATCTTTGGGCATAGTATCAGACTGCAACGGTTTCATTGAAGATGATGCTATTGGATTATTAAAAATCTTGGCAAAAAACTCTACCAAAATTAAAGTTTTGAAAATTAACGACTTTTATACTCAATATGATCCACAAGTATATCATGCATTTGTACGCATTATTAACTCACAAGAACAACTTATGCGATTCACCTTAGCCTGTTGTGGAGAATATCCTGACCATTTCCACGGTATAATTTCAGCTTTAACAAGTCAAAAACAGTCATTACGGGAACTTATAATAGAAGGTTGTATTTGTAATGATGAGTTCGAGATGTTAATGAATTGTAAAAATTTAGAAATTCTTCGTATCAGGTATTGCGAATATGAAAAACTGTTGACATTACCTGATTATAAAATCAGCACTTTAGAGATAGTTGATAGCCCAATTGATGCATCAAAAATAGCAATAATTTTAGAAAAGTCTGGCACATTACTACAACGACTAAAACTTGATTCAGAAGATGAAATGATTTTAGAACAATCATTATTAATAAAAACACTCAAGACCTTCTGCTCAAACATTACATATCTCAATATTTCGAATATCGAGATTTCCTTACAATTCCTAGATCTTATTGGCAATTTACAAAAACTTCAATTCCTCATTGTGTGTGAATGGTGTGCCATTAGCATCATACCAGAAGGAGATCAAGTTCAAAAATTTGCAAAAGCATTGCCGTTAACATTGCAATATCTCGACATAAGATATTCTTGTTTTGATTTATATATTGATATTTTTCTCGGAAATTGTTATGCACCTTTAAAAAAGTTAATAATTGAAAGAATTGATAACGAGAAACAAGTTGAGGCATTAATCGAATTCTGCATACGAAAAAAAACTTTGAATTATGTGGGTGTAGACATATGTTTGGATAATAAATTTGAAAAAAATGTAGGAGGATATGTTACAGTGGTACCATATGGACGCATTGTTGTTAATTGTTGATTCCTTATAAATTACCTTCTATACTTTAAATTTTTAAGGGCTAATATATGATAGTTAAAAATTTTATTTTTTAATTTAGATTTAAATGTATCGGAGCATAATTTTTAAAAAAAATGCTTTTGCAAATGTTTCTTCTTTCTTAAAATTAGAAAAATTGTCTTAAAGATTTAAAGAAATTAAAGTGGCAATATTGGTTTTTTTTTGACAAAAAATCTCAATTAGTTCTTTAAGTTTTCTAATTCAAAATATCCACCTTAAAGGTTAAAGATTGATGCTCTTTTTTTATCTTTGATACTATGTTCATAGTTCTTATTAATTTCTTTATTTTTAATCAGTTGTAAATTGGGTTAAAGTTTTGGGTACTAACTCATTTATAGGTGAGTAGCATGTTCCCTGTCCAAGAATTGCTAAAGATTAACATATTGATATGGGATGGCACTTCCTTATTTTGAGTAACAGCAATTTCATTCAACTTCATTTTTAAAGGATTGGATGGAGTTCTTCCACTATAAATATCTGATTATACGTACATCAAGATTATGTTCTAAGTTAAGAAAACATTGAGAATCCGTGTTTGTTGACATTTTCACAAGCAGTAGACAATCCAAAATCTGCAATCTTTGGCTATCCATAATAAATTAAAATATTTTTGAAAGCTATAAGATTATAAAATAGATTAAATTCTTTAGATGTCAAAAGTGCTAGAATATATAAAAATTGTTTCATCCATTCCTTATTCGTTAAGGAAGAAAATCACATGCAATGCAAAACAAATTCAGAAATGATCTAAACGCAAAAGTTATCTAGAATAAATGCAACACTCGTACGTACGTACGCGAAAAACGGCGTTATAGATTTTGGAGACATCATTTCTTCTATAGCAGATGAGTTTATGGAATATACTTTATACAATATGCGTTTGGAAATTGCAACCAATATAACACTTCTTATACAACTCAAAGATGGACAAGTGGGAATAAGGATGTTGATAATTGTATTAAAGAATTTAAACTTAAAACTACAGGATATGAAGACGTAATCGAATGGATTCTTTTAATAGATTAGTTAATATTTAAAACATTGGTGATATCTCATTAATAAAATCCTTAATAAAATTTTTTTCGCTAAATTTATTATAAAACTAATGTTAGTCTAATTCTGTTAAATAAAACGTGGCATGGAAACGTAACAATTAATCAATCATTCATTGTAGCCTTCTCAAGCTATCATACACTCTTTCCCAATCTTTCGTTATACTTTTACAAATCTCTTTTGAACTCTTTCAAACTCTTTCAAACTCTTTCAAAATGTTTCAGAAGCATTATGATAATACGACAATATGCATTATCCGTTTACGGTTCTTACAGAGAATAGCTGTAATTTTAATCTTTATAAATGAATTTTGAAATCAGTTATATATGTTGCATCAGAAGTAACGATTTATCTAAAGTAGCGCCTGGCTAAAATTAAGCCCCTGAAATTAGATCTTCATGCATGCGTTAGGTTATAATTTTAGCCAAGGTGCTACTTTAGATATAGTGGCTACTTTAGATAAATCGCTACTTCAGATGCGACATATATGCATCTATATAATGCATACCATTCGCTTTCAATATCGAAATAGAACTCTAAATAAATGCTCAATTAACTAACGCTAATAATCTCAAAAATTCTCTTAAGAATACATAAAAAAAAAGACCTAAGAACAACCAAATTGCGATCAACATGACATCCCACATTGTAAAACCATGCAGATTAGTCTCAATCTAATTGCATTGATATTATTTAAATTAACTATTTCTATATATCTATATATGTAACAGTAATCCTTATTTTCTTTTTTTTGGTACATAATGGTGAGTGAAATGGAAATAGCCTAGCTAAAACAAAAGCCGGTCATGTACGATATGATACACAAACGGATAACCCAAATTTGAATTTGAATTGTAATACGTATCATAAAAACAAGATATAACTTGTAAGTAAATTTTAAAAAAAAAAACAATGATAAATGTGCATATGTTCCATGATTCTTGGCATTAATCCTTACTCTTCGTTGCATTTCATTGCATTTCTTTCCTTGTGATCTATAATAAAAATTATGTTACAATACGTAAAAAAATAACCAATTTTATAGAAACTTAAATATGCAGTAACTGCATAGTAACGACGTAATAATTATATAATCACTATCATAACTACATAGTTACTATGCAGTTAATGTGCATTAAAAGATTTAGATTTCTGCATAAAAGCATCGTGAATTTCCCCCTTTCGTACTTTATTATTTAGAAGAATGAGCTACACAACATCATGATGTTGCAGTACTAATTGCACTTATACCTTTACTCTACTTGCTTAACTATTGTGTCGGTCGGTCTGTACCGTTATGACAATTTCTTAAATTGAGAAATTGATGTTTAATCAATTTGGTATAATTTTTGATGATAAGTCTAAAATTAGAAACTTGCATATTTAACTCTAAAATTTAATTGGCCAATTAATAATGTAGATTACCTCCTGCATTAATATGCACAATTTTATACTTAGAATCAAAGAATTATATAACGATAAGTAAAAAAAAACTTTAAACTAGAATTATACCGAATTATAATATAATAATCTCAACAAAAATTACTGCTAACAGATAGATTGTCTACTCATGAATATAATCTAATAAATTATCAAGCCTATTAATTCCATTCTTGGTATGTACATGCAGGGATAGTTTATGAAACAAATTCATTGATTAGAGTTTCACAATTAACGCGCAGAATTAGCCGGGGCGACCCCCAAATGTGCGAGTCACTTGATAAGAGCACAACCACTGCATAATTTCCTAAAAAACGGTTGCATCATCTAGCTCCTACGTACATGCAGCGAAATTTCTTAAACCGAAATTATATAACGATAATAAAGCAATATACTATCGGTTATTAATTAATCCGCATATTTTATAAAATAAGTCTGATTTTTCAAATAGCATTTTTTTTTGCTTGTCGATTATAAGCCGGAGAAATTAAATAAGATTTTTTTAATTTTAATTTTGAAATAATAATTGTGAAACAATCATTGTGAATTATTTTTCGTAATTGACCAATTCAAAAATTTATTTGAACCTTTGTATTTAGTGTTTACAATCCAAAAATCAATTTTGCACAGATCAATATTGGTTGGATGACCACTATTGTATAAATTCTAATCTTTGCGTGTTTTTGATGGTTCCCCAAATTTGATAATACTTGTATTAAAAGAATAGTAAAAAAAAAAAATTTTGAAAATGCTATGTCATCTTATAAGAGGTCCGCAAAGAATAGAACCAAAATTGGTTCTATGGTTTAGGCGCATTGTAATCCTTTTATCATTAGTTATATTAATTATTGCCCTCTCAATACTATGCATAAGAGTATTAAATGAACTGCCTACCGTTATTACTTCAATTAAAACAGATGATAAAATACTTGCTCCAAGTAAATATATATATTTTTTTGAGTCAATCAAATTAAACTTTCTAATCTCAAAGCTAATATTTATTTTAGCCATCTATATGGAATTCAAGCATAACTTTAGCATGTCTTGTTTTTTATATTATTCTTATAATGGAAGTACGTAGAGAAACATTTTAAATCGTAAATAAACGATATAAATTTATAAAATTTGACTAAACTTATGATTATTTAAAAGCAAACGTGACAAGTTGTGATGACTGTATTTCACAACCAACCCTTGGTAATGACATCGATTTTCCGTTTATTGGGAGGTTCTCACCGAAATTTGCCATAGGGTTGACTAAATATAGTGATCCAGGGCCATATTATGTTTATCTTAATATGCATGTAAATACTACGGGTTTATCATTCAATGATACCGCGCAAGATTCAACATTTAGAATGATCGCATTTGATGCAGGTAAATTTTATAAATTGAGTTCTTGTTTATTATAAGTTTTAATATAAAAAAGATTAATAAATAAATATTTAAACAGAAAAGGATTTATTTTATAGTAACTCAACATCTCTATTTGAAGAATCTCTTTTCTATTCAAATAAATATTTACTGGCAAGAAATTCTGTATGTATACATGAATTAAATCATTTAAATTAATGGTTGAATTCAAAAATTAACAATATATTGTCACTATATAATTGTCAAATAGCAATATATATTGTTATATAATAGAAAAATCAGAAAATCGATAGACAAACAACAAGAATTTTTATCTATTATTGGTTTTCCATCAAAATACGAAGCACCATTAAATTATATTGAATCATATATAGGTAATTTATTATTTTAAAAAATGTTTGTTTTTACATTTTCATTTTACAATACTAACATTTTTATTGATAAATAACTCAAGAACCTTTATCAATGATTCTAAACTCATCTGTTCAACCATATTCAGTTGTAAGAGTTAATCCACGAGATTTCACTATAACTGAGGAAGAAGAACAAAGGTAATGTTATATTTGAATAAAATCAATCGTTTCTAGTATATTATATACTTAATTATAATTTACACTTATAATAGACACAGCACAGTAAGTAATTTCATTTATTTTAAAATAACAATATTCAAAAATAATTGTATTCATAACTTTGTTAAATAGATCATAGGTGCATTGGGAACTGTTATTGCTTTTTACAGTAGTGTTGTATTTATTTATATATTTTTATTCGGTAAATTGCATATTTTAATATTTTTATTTTTATTTTTTGAGTTAAATAATTATATACAATATATTTCATACCTATTTAGGAGTTGATTCAATACAACCATGGGGCGTCGTGCATAATTGTTGTGGAATCAAAGAAAAAACTCAAAAAAAACTTTTAAAAGATGTACATCCGATTAATGCAGATGATTTGGAAAGCCTCATACAAAGAGTTAATGATATAGAAAATTTTCACCATTACCTTAGACATAATGTTATTGACTCCTCATTATTTGTATCTATTCAACCTATTCAACAAGAACAACAAGACATGCGGATAGTAAATGAAACTAAGTCACAGATGATGTAATTGCAAGAAAAATTTTTTTTCTAATCATACGTGAACATAAACGTGATCAAGTGAATTAGTATAATCAAATATCCTAAACCTTTTACGCTACTTTGTTTAAAATATTCAAATATCTTAATTATAATTTATTGTAGCTGCATCCTAGGTTTACGTAGGTAAATTCATTACTCTTGATACATCACGTATTAATATTAAAAATCTTAATTATTGAATTTTTATATCAAATTCTTATATAATATTTAAATTTTATAATTTTTGATCCACCGATCAAATTTATATGATTTAACTATCAAAATGATCCTCTTGATAAGGAGATTCTAATGAATCTAAAATCATTTGAACTGTCTCAGTATCGCCAAAACAGTCCAATCACGATTTACCATAATTCTGTAATTACAGACAAAATTTCACAATCATGTGCAAATTATCCAATCGCACGTAGCCTAATATTCGCAAATTAATTTACAAATAAAATTATGTCAAGTTACATTATTAAATTGATATCTATTTGAAAAAAGTGATCATTTGGTTTGCTTTGTATACTTTTTAATTAAATGTCACATTAAATTTTTTATATTTGATATATTCAATATTAATTTATTTATATTTAAATAAATATAACATTAAAAATAAATTTATTTAAATATATTTTTGTAAATTTTAACACAGGCAATTTGTTTGCATTAATTTTTTTAGCAAAAGTTTAGCAATTAATTTTAGCAATATACTTTCTAAGTAAATAATATTTTTATAAATCTACTTTATTAACTTTGTTAATGTTTTTTTTTTTACAATTTTAGGTTAAAGTTAGGGTTAAGTATAAAGGTACTAATCTTCATTATGGTTAGGTTTTTTTGGGTTCTTAACATTTTTACTTAGTACCTTTGACATATGTTAGTTAGTAGGTTTTTGAGATATAATATTCTTAACAATATCACTACAAACAATAAATAGCCATATTCTTTTTTAAATTTATTAAAAAAACTTTTAATTAATTAAAGTCTGAAGTTTATATAATATTAGAAGTTTATTATTAAAATATTTTTTGGATTTTTTTAAATTTTTATATTTTTGAAATTAAAAAAATATTTACTTTTAAAATATGTATTAATTTTTATTTATAAATTACTAAATTTATAATAAATAAAATTATAATCTTTAATATAAACCATAAATTTGTATTAAACCTATAACTTTAAAATTAATATTTAAATATTTATTATAAATAAGCTAAATATTTTTTTATTTAAAATTTTTTCAAAATTGTATATTTTTGATTTATAAATAATCTAAATTTTTTTATATAATTAAAAATAAATATTATAAAAGTAATTCTTATTTTTAAGTATTTTATATCAAATTATATTTAAATATTTTAACATTTTAAAAAATAAATAAAGATTAAAAAAGTACAATAATACAAATTTATCTATATTAACCTACAATTTAAAATATATATATATTGTATAAAATTAATTATAGTTTTTAATTATAAAAAATTAATTATAATTGTAATTAATTATCTATAAGTATATTCTCTATAAATACACATATTATACAAATTTTTTCTAAATATATACTAATTTTCTATTTTAAATATTTAAAACATTTAATAAAATGTTCTTTATAAATATATACTTTTTCTAAATACATATGTTTAAAATTTGGTTTATAGTTTTAAAAGATATATTTATAAAAAATTAATTATATTTTATATTTAATATAACTAACTATAGTTATATTAAATAACTAATTACTTAATTCTTTTTGTAAATTTTTAAAACTAACTTTTCTTTAATAAACAATTTAATTTTTCTTAATATTTTATTAAATTAACAGGTTTTAATCTTTTAATTAAATATTTTTTACAACTTTTTATTTTAAAAATAATATAAATTTATCTATATTTAATTATTTAATACAACAAAATTTTTTTATTTTAATATTATTTTTATTTATATTTTTTTAATTTTCTTTAATTTATATTTATAGTCTTTTTATTTTTAAATAAGCTTACTATATTAAATTTTTTATTGTTAAATATATTAATTTTTTTATTTATATAATATTTAATGAAAAAATAATAATATATAAATATATATATTTTTTTTGGTGTTAAGGTGAGGCCTTGCTCATATCTTTATTAGTAATTTTAGTTGTACATATTAATATACTATATATTAAGAATATACTAAGATTGTAAAATACAAAATAAAAAACTACATGCAAGAATTAAAGCTCAGATGACATTATCTGCAACCTAAATCGATTCTCATATTTATATAAACTTATAAAGTATACTATATATTTAAAAAAATTTATACTCTAATACTCAGTTATACTCAGTAATAGTTATAATTTTATTTTGAAATTTAGACAACAGGCTTCAGCCCTATAAAATATCACTGTTTTATTACTATATAGTTATATAATATATTTTATATATTATCTAGTTCATTCTATTCTGCATAATATCATGATATTTTCATAAATAAGATATTAATTTCAAAGTTGATCTCTTTACAGTTTTTAATTTTGCATTATATTTTATACTAGAATTATTTAATATATTACAAGTACTATATATAACTTCAACATTAATATGATTAGATTTTTTTCTACTACTTTTTTTAATTCAAAATATTTTCATATCCAGCTTTGTTTTTTTGGTCCACTATTGTGACCTAATCTTTTGGGTGCTGCATTTTCATTTTTGTTACTTGAAAAATTAAGTTGGTTAATAAGTAACTTATCAAGTGATTAGACTAATAAAGATAGTAAATTATCTTCTTCTATAATTTGTAAATAAATTTAGAGTTTGGTTTTAATAAAAAAGATGCAAGGTTAAATATATATATTTATAATATTTATTTAATTAATCACTTAAAGATTTATATTGTATAATTAGGTTAAGTGAATAATAACTGAAATATAGTATAAATAATGACTACTATTATATTGCAAAAGACCTTTTATATTTATTTTTTGCTATTTAACTGCACTATTTTTATAGGACCAGTGCATTATAATTGTATCAATGATATGTCATAAAATAATATTAATGAAATGCCTTGACAATTTAAGTATGTAAAAGTGAAAAACTGGAAACTAATTATAGTAAATCATCAAATCGATTTCTAGATTTTTACTCTTATGCACTTATTTGTATTATAATATTTAATATATAGCATATACTACTATATATATGTATGTATTTTTTAACTATTCAGAATAAAGTGTCCAAAAGACAGCAATAGCAGAATCTGTGCAGAATTTGTACAAAATTCTGCAAGCAGAATAAAAATTATTAGTAAATATGTCTATTGTAATGAATTTAAAATTTTCTTTAAAAAATATTTTTTTTTGTTATAATTTCATTTTTTAAAATATTATTTATATGTTATCACAGAATTTGCTAATTTAATGTCAATTGCAGCAGAATTTTTCAGTTAGAGTAGCAGTACTCTGAATATTCTAATTCAGAAATTAGTTTGCACATACTACATATAAGTACCATATATGCATATACCTTGCCTTTGTATATTTTCTCAAATAGAGATATACATAATGCAATGTTTTTTTTTAAATAACATGTACAAACTCTTAACTTGTTATATATGAATAAACTCTAACTTCAAGTAACTTAAATTCCAAAACAATATACAAATACTATGTATATAATACAATATAATGTATCATATATGCATTATGCAATTCTATATTATTATAAAAGATCCCTAATTTTTTCTATCACTATGTACATACATACTAGTTCTGATTTGGTATGTGTAAATTCTATTAACAATTGAAGATATAGGCCCTTATATTTGCTAGTTAGACTGTAGCTATAATAGCAATTTAAGAACTGATTCTTATTATATAGCTACAATTAATAATTCTATATAATTGTTACTGTTATAAAACAGAGAAAGATATATAATAAGGTTAGCTATTGGCTTATTTCTACAAAATAAGTAAGAGTGAAAAGCATATGCTATAATAAAATTCATAGGTACATATTTTCTACTCACAGTCTTTCTTGTTTACTATTTACAGAACTTCACAGATTATAAAAATTTATACAATCAGATATGTAAACTTTGTACTATTCTTTGTTAAAAGAAACTTATTATTCTTTTATCAATTATAATTATCTTTCAATTACTTAAAACTAAATATATGCATATTGTTTATTAATTAACATTCAATGATTTCTTTTATTAGGATAGTTATGTTATTGTTAAAACTACTTTTATATGCAGATTAATATAATGAACAATTTCTATAATATAAATAGATTTCAGAAAAAAGGCATGAATATTCACTATAAAAAAGATATTATTACAATAAATCAATTCTCGTGACATATTTGTTTTCTAACTATAAGATTATATATAGTTAAATTTTTTAAATATACATATGCATTTAGAAAACAATAGAAAATGCAATTATGATAGTTAAGAATATGTTTAGATCAGATTTAAGTATGTATTTAAAAAGATTATATATTTAAAGTGGGTGCACTTAGAAAGGTTTCACTATATATATCATAAAAGTTATATGTATTATAAAACTACTCAATACAATATTATTATTAAATATAAATTTTGAACAAGATTCAGATTATAGTTATGAAGATTATAAAAATGATTATAATTATGAAGATTATGCTCTATATAGTAAACTATTATCTCCAATATTAGAAGCAAATACTAGTTCACCATATCTAACATCAGAAATAAATACCAGTTCATCATTATCAATATTAGAAACAAATGCTATTTCTATATTGAAAACCAATACTGAATCAACTTTAACATCAGAGACAAATACAATTTCATCAAACAAGCTATCAGCTTTGTGGCAATACTTTTTTTTTAAAGTTGACAAACCAAATAACCCAATTTGTAATAAATGTAAGTTTGAATTTTCAGATAAATCTGAAAACTCAACTTTAGAAAAGCATTTAAGTAGCCAACATAACATTATAGTTCTACAAATTAAAACTCATTAATTAAAGCTAATATTTACTTGTAAAGTTCCATAGTCTGAAAAGCAAAAAAAGAATATGACATAGTTTTAATTAGTTGGATAATTTTAGACCAGCAGCCATTTCGAGTTATTGAAAATAAAAAATTTATTAAAATAATAAATATCTTAGATCCACATTACAAAATTCCTGAGCACCACCAAATTAAAGATATAGTTATTAAATATTTCAATAAGCAAAGAACTAACATAACTAATATTTTATTTAAAATTTTGGGAAAAGTTTTCATAACAGCAGACATGTAGTTATTAACTATAAATAATCAAGCTTTTCTTAAAATTACAATTTACTATATTGATCAGCAGTAGAAATTTCATCAATTCTTATTAGATATAATCCTCTTTATTATATATTATATAGGAGTAAACATAGCAACTGCAATTAATAATACTCTTAGAAAATTTAATCTTATAAATAAGATATTGGCTTGTACTACTAATAATACATCAGCAATGTTAGTTTGTGGAAAAACTTTAGCAGATCCTTTATATATAGAATTAGATAATCAGGCTTTTCACCATTATCAATATACTGCATATATTTTAAATCTAGCTGCACATCATGGATTAGAGGTTATTGTTCAAGAACTTACTAGTATCTGATTATTAATATCAAAAATTAAATTATCAATAAATTTATGCAATGAATTAAGAGATTTGTATAGCATGCAAAAGTTAGATTATTTAAAACCAGAACTAGATATTGTAACAAGATAGAACAGCATGTATTACATGCTAAAAAAAGTGGTCAGAATGCAAGCTGCTTTATGAATATTAGCTATTAATCATTATGATATTCAAAGTTTAATGCCTACATTAGAAATATGAAACAAAATTGAGGTAAAAATATATTAATATTTTGAAACAATTGCCTAGTGCTCATGTAATATATTACTATCCTTTCAAAATTTCCTGTGCTACCAATAATCAAGATAAAATATTTTTATTAAAAAATTTAATTAATTATATAATAAAAATTATATAAAACTATATGAATGCATTTTTAAATATTGGCAAAAGCCTGCATAGTCCGAGCTAAAATTTAAAATTTTTAAAAGTTTAGTAAAATTGTAGGCCAGATGCATCAAAATTATAGTAAAATGTACAGCTTTTTAAAAATATATTTTGTGGTTTATGCAAGCTAACAAAAGTATAATTTTTTAGGCTTATATAGACAGTATTAATAACATAAGATCCAGATTATTTTTATAATAAATAAAGGTATTATTATTTTTATTTTTATAAGTTTTAAAATTATAATTATTTTTCTTTCTGCATTACTAATTTTATTACTTTTTTATAAGATTTAGAACAACTTTTTTTAAACTCCCTCTAAGTGCAACAAACTAGCTTAGTTCCTTATAAGAACTTATAAAATAAATATAAGTTTTTATTTTATAAAAGCAAGATTTTTTTTTGCCAAGGTATTTATATAATTATTTTTAGAGATTGGAACTATTTAATCATTTAAAAATTGTTCTATAGTTCTGAGCAGAATTATGTTGGTCATGGGCCAGAATTATTTTAATGCTAGCCAAATTAAATGATTAAACAGTTAAATGATTAAATGATTAAAAAAAATTTTAGGCAGTTATAATTCCTAATTATTTTCTCTAAATGCAAAGTATTATATTAACCAATTAAATCAATTTATTTGTTTACAAGTTTTTTTCTAGGTGCAAAATGTTTTAGCTTGCATTTTAAGAGAATTAATTAATATTGATTAAGTTTTCTTTAATTGCAAATTCTCTCTAGACATAAGACATTTTTCTAACCCATCAATTTGCACTTAAAGAAAGCTAACTGTACAGTGTCATAAGATTAAATTGTAATAGAAAAGCTTATTATAATTGTAAAAATAATTACAATATCAAAGATGGATTTACAGTCGCAGTCATAAGTATCTCCTCCCTCATAACTTTTTAAATTAAAAAGCTATAAATTTAAAACTTTTATTATAAATAGTACTAGATAAATCTAGGTTGA